CTCGCCCAGCCAGTGAGCGGGAACCAGTCTGTATGTGGGATCCGAACCCTCGGCGGGAGCGCCGCCGTGCTCCCAAGCGGCGCACTGTAGCAGTGCGCCACCGGGCCGGCCCGAACTTGGGTTTGTTTAATGCTAGAGCCCATATGACTCCCCTCCCCCATCCTTTCCCCATTTAAGGGCTGTATATTGAGGGATTATTCTGTGCCAGGTGCTGTGCTAAGGATTTGTAGTTTGTTCTCATTGACCTATGAGGAAACTGACTCATAAAGAGGTTAGTCATAGTCCAGGGCCACACAACTAGTAAATGAGAAACCTTGCCACTTTGCATTAAAAAAAAGAATTGTATAATATCTTTAAAAGATGAGTTCTAGATGCTTTCTATCCCCAGATTTTCATTAATTGACAAAAGAAGAAGGATCGCCTTTTGAAAAATGGCATCTTCTTCTTGCCTGCTTCTACATTTCACTCACATCCTACTGCCCGTCATCTTGGACCCTGGCATACTGTAACTGTCTTTTAACCAATCAGGCACCAGAGAAGCATCTCTATCTATTCCACACAGCCTCCTCCTGCCCATGAGGAAGGATGGGAGGAAGAGAGGAAGGAACTGTCAGGGGTTTTTTTGGTTCCCATCACCCTCAATTTAAAGACCAAATGCCAGAGAGAAAACCGTGAGAGTTTTACCTTAGCTACTCTTCTAGCCTACCCCTGACATTGTCACACAGCAATTAAAGTGACTGCCCTCACTTCNCTACTCTTCTAGCCTACCCCTGACATTGTCACACAGCAATTAAAGTGACTGCCCTCACTTCCAGAGACCCCATCTCACTCCCTCCAGCCTTTGCACATGGAGTTTCTCCTCCTTGGAATGTTCTTTCTCCCTGTTTGCCTGGAAAATTCTTTTTTCTTCTTAACTCCCCTGAGATAGTATCTCCTCTGAGAAGCTTTGCCAGCTCCCCAATTCTGGGATTGATGCTCCTTCTTTATATTCCCCTGTTCCCTTAAGTCCCATCCCCCATCCCAGCATTAAGGACATTTACTTTGAAATTGCCGTGTTATGTGTCTGTCTCCCTAACTAGACTCTAAATATCTGCAGAACAGGGACTGTGTCTTGCTACCCAGGGTATTCCCTTCACCTAGTAGGGTGTCAGCACCCATGGTTGTCTAGTTGGCTAATAACAGCACCATTTATTTATTCATGATCCTATGGGTTGGCAATTTGGGCAGAACTTTGTCGGTCTGGCCTGCTACTGCTGCATGGGTGCCAGTGGGTCTGCACACACAGTGGTGGTCAGAGAAGTCACAATGTTAGCCGAGAATCAAGGGTTGGGGAAATAGAAGCCATCTTTTGATGTGAGGAGCTCCAAGGGATTTGTGGCCATTTATAATCCACCAAGAGTAGGTACCCACTATTTGTTGAATAAAAGTCCAAGGCGTTACCTAGTTATTGAAAGTGTTGGACTATGCAGAGGCAAATTACTAATGAACTACTGGGTAGAAGTGTAATATTAAGTTGTGAATGAAGCCCAATGTCTAATGAATACTTTAAAGTCAGGAAATGCTAAAACGATAGTGTTACATGGGGCCATGTAGAGCACAGTTTAGTCTTTTCATTTGACCAAGGAAGAAACTGAACTGTGGAATGGTCACAGGCATGCCCACCCTCACAAGGCTTGGTGAGTCACAGCTTGGGCCCAATGCCTGTCTACTGCCTTCCAGCCCTATGGCCTTTACAGTACAGCCTTCTGCCTTGGAGGGTATGCAGCAAAAATAGGCCTTCAGCTTTGGGGTCTTTATAAAATGAAAGTGGTGCCATGTACCTGTGAAAGGAAAATAATTTTAATTGACTCAGGTCTTGGATTTTTAAATCATGTCATTAAAAAATAATTATTTTATGTGATATTTTTACCATTGTCCTGCTTTAAAATTAAAAAAAAAATTCTAAAAGAAGTATCCTAAATTAACAATAAGCTATGTTTCTAGGAGCTTTTATTTCATATATTTGTGTGTGTATTATATGTGAGGTTTCAGTCATTCAGAACCTCTGAAATGTCTTTCTTTGTGCCCTTAAAAAAAGTACTTGATTTTCAAGTGTTTGTATAATGTGTTCATGTTTTTGTGAGGGAGATGAAAGTAGTTTTTGTTTCCTCATTAGCATAGTATGTGTAATTGTGAAAGCCATTTTCTGTTGTAGAGAGAAAAATGCAATTGCCTTTTAGGTTGATTCTACTGTTTTTTTATTATTAATCAATATTAAATAATTGTATAAATTAGTCAGAAGAATAGATTGGAAATGGTGGGTAACATGAAAGATATCCATCTTTGCATAGATTAGATGTGAGCAACTTCACACCATCTTATAAAAGGTGGCTGCACTGGAGGGATGGAAATTAATATTTAAAATGTCACTGCTTTAAGTTCAAATTGGAGGCTTACATTTAAAATACAAGGCTACTTCAAAAAGTTCATGTAAAGATTTATCTTCAATTCTACTTTTCCACAAACTTTTTGAAGTATCCTCAAATGTATGTTGTGAAAATAATTTTGCTATTTTAAACTGATTATATGAACTGTTCTCTCCTGTTAAGTATTGATCTTATTTCATTTTTATTATAAATGATCAGAATAACTCTAGAACATTTTAGTTTTGCTAATTGGTTGGAATCTATTGATGTCATTGACCATGGTTTTACTCATTTAAGGCAGAATTTTGGGTGTAATGTGTTTTTCTTCAGTTCAATGCCAAAAGGACAAATCTATTGTGTACCAAAATAAAGTTTATCATCAAAGATAGCAAACGATATTATCAAATGCATTAATAAATGTACTTAATATATACTTTTATTTTAACATCAGGTTGAGATTTGTTTGCTCCCTTTATTAAAAATTATAACATGATACTTAACATTATTATATGAAAGTACAGAGGAGTATAGCATGAAATAAATGCTATGTTTTTTAAAACAGTGACTTTAGAGTTTTAGCTTTTCCTGTCTTTTAAAACAAATTTGCCACTTTTTATCCTAAGAAAGGGTTGCATTATAAAGCTGATCTACTACTCACTTACCAGATAAAACACATGGGACTTAGATTTATTCTCTAATGTAGCCAAAAGTGCCATTTGTAAATCTACTTAATGATGGATGTTTTCAGAAGATCTTTTGCCTCAGGGGGAAAAAGTGCATTAAAAAGCTTTTTCTGGGCCGGCCCCGTGGCTCACTAGGGAGAGTGCAGTGCTGGTAGCGCCGAGGCCACGGGTTTGGATCCTATATAGGAATGGCCGGTGTGCTCACTGGCTGAGCGTGGTGTGGACGACACCAAGCCGAGGGTTGCGATCCCCTTACTGGTCAGGAAAAAAAAAAAACAAAAAACTTTTTCTGTACTATATTTGATTCAGAATCATTTTCTCCCTGCACAGGTCAGCATTGATGGGTATTATAGAATATCCTATATGAGAAAATACCATGTGCTTGTTTACTACTCTGAAAGAATGTTACATTTTTTTTTCTTAATTTTTGACAAGTTAGGAAATCAGTTAAATAATTCCATGTGTGGGGGGAGGGCAGTGTAAAGTATGGGGGTAAGTGGTTATTCTGACTACACTCAGTATTAACCACTTAATTTTTGACA